TCTCTCTCTCTCTCTCTCTCTCTCTCTCTCTCTCTCTCTCTCTCTCTCTCTCTCTTAGTGTGTGTGTGTGTCTGTCTCTGGCACCTGAAGCTTCGCCCCCACACCCGCTGGCAGTCTGTGCAGTTCGGTGTCGTCCCAGACCCTCCCTCTCCGGACGCCCAGCCCCGCGCAGCCTCTTCCCTCTCCCCTTGCTCTCGTTTTCCGACGCGCCCTCGTTTTGCCTCAGTGCGCGACTCCGCCGCGTTGTTTCGCCTTTCTGCGTACCCGCAAGCCTCAAGTCTGGTTCAGCCCCGCCGCGTGTCGTTGGGACCGCCTCGTGCCGTTTCCGGTACGCGCCTGTGGGTACCGGTCGCCTTGGGCCTCGCCTCCGGTTCTGCCCCTCGGCTGGTTTTTGTTGGGCCCGCGACTACGTGTGTCGCTGGGACCTTTGTATCTTTTAAGTGTTTTAAGTGTATTGAGAAAACAAGCGGGACGCGGCGGGGCAATAAGCATGAATCTTCCGATAGAGCACGTAAAGGTAGACCGCCATACTTTTTGCCCTTATAGTGGAGCGAGGCCTAAGATACATGCCAATCAGGGAAGGCGGTTCTCGTTTCAACGATGGAGAAGAGGAAAGATAGAGAACAATAGAGAGGCACCAAAGAGCAAAAAGAGGGAAAGAGAGAGCAAGAAGGTGTTTCAACCGTGTTTGGGAAAAAAAGGAACTCCAAACGCCCGAGCCCCTCTTCTCTCTTTTTCTTTCTCTTCTGCTCGTACCACTCCTCTCTTTCTTTGTGGCTCCCCTCTTCGTCTCGACGGGCCATTCAAAAAAAAAAAAAAAAAAAAAAACATTTTGCATCTCTATCTGAGAGAGAGAGAGAGAGAGAGAGAGAGAGAGAGAGAGAGAGAGAGAGAGAGAGAAAGAGAGTGTTCGAGGCAGGCAATGCGCTCTATGTCCCTGAGTGGCAAGCAGGCCGGAATGAGCGAATGGAGGATCGGGAGGGGTCCCGATGGGTGGTGAAGTAATTGGAATGGACGCATCAAGGGTCCCACAGGTGTGTGGACAGTCGAGATGGGGAGAAGAAAGGGTGGGATGGGTCGCGATGGGTTGGGATGGGTGGCAGACGGGTTAGGATGGACCGATCGAAGGTCCGCAGGGCCGAATGGACAGTCGGGATGGGGGCATGAGGGGACGGGATGGGTGCAGGGATGGAGTAATGAAGGGTAAGGACAAGCGGCAGGTCATGTGCATGATTATTGAATGATTAAAAAAAAAAATTGAGGATTGGAATGGGTCGGGATCTATATAGGCAGCGAAGAGGGTCAGTCACATTCCGCATATAAACAACAGCCTTCCTCCGGATAAGATCCACGGAGGTCTTTCTTCTTCGTTGAGAGAAAAACTCTCGGGCAGATATACGAATTTAATAGGTCTTCTTGCAGATTCTAAATTCTTAATATATTGTGACGAGACTATCAAGAGTAAGCATGGTAACACGACTCCTGGAAAGGTGTCAAGAGCTCTTGATGAACTTACAAAAGAATGGCTTACTCACTTAGCAACTCTTCTTCAACAAGGGTGCTTCGCTCCGGATAAAGCCATCGACATTGTAAGAGGCCGGTTTATCTTCAAAATAGAAAGCTATGCAA